GATAACCCCAGGCCTGAATACTTGACTTCACCCATGCATCTGAGTAAATGGGCTTAAGTCCACAAAAACGCACACAAAAATAGGCTGGCTCACTAAAAAAATACCACAAGCCACCTCTCCCTCTTCTTTTTTATACTTAAAAACACTTATGTGGTTTTTAAAAAAGTGGATGAAAGGGAAGGGGTATCTTTGCCACACTACACAACTGTAGCACTTTGATGCCACTTTAAATGTCATGGCTCCATCCCCTGAAATCCTGAGATTTATAGTTTTGTGGGGTGTATTCAGAATTCTGTCAGGGAGTTCTTAGTAATGTAATTCAGAGGAGCACATTAGAGAATGGGAGGTACAGCCAGCCCACCATATCCTTGGATTCCTTACGCACAGATTTAACCATCCACAAAATATTTAAAAAATAAAATACATTCCAAAAAGCAAACCTTGATTTTTTTTTTTTTGTCATTTATTAAAGAGATACCATTTTACTAGGCCATTGTATTTAATGGGACTGGAACATCCACAGATTTTGGAATCTTCGAGAGGTCTTGGAACCAAACCCCAGCGGATACCAAGGGCCCCCTGGACCTCATTTAACTACAAATCCCAGGATTCAACAGATAGGAGCCTCAACTATTAAAGTGGTATTAAATGGTATATAATTGTGCAATGTGAATTCAGTCATACAAGACAAAATGGCACACCTTGTGGGTTGTGGGACTCCTTGGAGTCTGGGAAAATACTAAAAAACCAAATAGGAATTGCAAGGCACAATGTAAGCCCTTGCTTTAAAGCAGATGTGAATACTGCCGGAGAGACAGTGGCCAATTTTGCACTAAATTCTTTCCACGGGCTACACCCTGCCTTGATGGTGCATGAAAATACCTCTTTATCCAGTCATATCCCAGCCAAAAAAAGAAGGTATGGGGCAGGGTTGCCAGAGTGAAAAGGGATGGGATGATCCTGTGCCAAGATGATCTCATCCCCAAATATTTTTAAACTGAAAAATCCTGGGGTTTGTAGTCGTCTGGGTGCTTTGGCTGTGAATTCCAAATGCCCTTCTTTAAACTCCAAATCCCAGGATTTCATAGGATGGAAGCATAGCGCTATAATTGTCCAGTGTGAATGGGTTCCAGATAACAAGCAAATCCTGCCTGAAATTCCCTCTTTTGCACAATCATAAAAGGTATAGGAGCCCTTCCAGATTTCACTCTGGCAATTTTTTTTGGGGGGGGGGCACCTTGAATAACAAGTGAAGAAAAACTTCCCACACCCACTTTCAATACCATTAATGGGATTCAATACTACAGATCCCAAAGTGTCCATAGATGACCCCCCCCCCAAACAACACCCAATGCTTTATTCAGAGAGCTAAAAACTCCTTTCCAGAACCAGACAGCTGTCTCCAGAAACAAAATAACTTCCTCTTGCAGCAGGCAAACATTTCACAAAGCTGGAAGCGACAACCCCCTGAAATATTATCCAGCAACTTCTGAAAAGGCAATTACAGGCATGGACAGAGATTCACCTCCTGGGAATGTTCATAGAGGAACAAAGCACATTTTGTGCTTTTTGGGTCAGCCTAAATAACAGTATTACTACAACAACAAGGTTTTTGGATTCCACCCCCCTTTTTTTTCTGGCTACAACACATACCTCTGCTTTAATAATAATAATAATAATAATAATAATAATAATAATAAT